GAAAAACCTGAGACAAAAACAAAAAGGATTTAATATCTGACTTTAAGCCAGTTTTATAAATGACACTGTAAAAAAAATAGATCTAAAGTAGCATATCTATCTGTTTAATCTTTCAAATAATTGACAGTTTTGTTTTAGGTACCAGTAGAAAATACATCACTAAATAAAGAGATCTGAGATACACTTTTTTTCTCTCACATATTGATCCAAATTTGAGAGGTACAGCTCTACTCCATTAGATTATTTCGAGTCCCAGCTTTCTGTTCTGCCATCACAAAGGGCAGGATTCAGTAAACTACAGCCTGCAAATCAAATTCTGCCTACCACCTTCTTTTTAAATAAAATTCTATTGGAATTCTGCTACACCCATTCATTTATATATTTTCTGTGGCTGTTTTCATCTTACAATGGTAGAGTTGAGTAGTTATGACAGAGATTATACAAACCTGAAATAGGTACTATCTGGCCTCATATAGAAAAAGTCTTCCAGTCCCTGCCATAGAGTGTTGTCCTTGTCTACATGGTCAATACTAGCTCACCACCAAAACACCCACAGTCCAAGCCAGAAGAGAGCAAAGGCAAACGATTTGATTTCCAAAGCCCAACTTGAAATTGCACATATCATGTCTCATTTACTCCACTGTTGCAGTATAGACATATACCCAGCTAAAATGCAACGGGTTGGAAATGTGCCCAACCTAACATATGTGTAGGTGGATCTGTTACTAAAAGGGAAAAGGGTAAGTAGATGCTGGGGAATGCTGAGCAGTTTCTACCACAGTTATGAGGGGGAAATGATGGTATAGGTGGAAGTTAAGAGGGAAATGATAAATAAGCCTCTTGAATCAGCTGCCTTCATTGAATGGATTTTGACCATTAGAAGCACTTCACAAAGTAAAAGACTGCTTTCCAGGACTTTTGCCTCTTCTTTATTTTTTCCTGGTTAAGTGTAACTCATCCAAAATCTAGTAATAGTAGTATTTTAAAGAGCAGGTCATCTTATTTGGTATTTGCTCTCAGTGACTAGAAATAAGCCTTGAGTTCCTGCAATGGTAACGTTAGCCTGGTGTATGCCTCCCATGCAGAGCCTCTTCTTGTTACCCTAACATCTCAGTGTAATTTCAAAGACAAGACCTACAGATTCAGTTGCTTCATGAGCATGTTTAGACTTCTTGTCCATCTTCCCAACACACATATACACATGTAAATAAGATATGTGCTCAACAGCTTAATATTCACTTACATGTTTGAGTGCCTTATCTTAACAAGTCCCCATAATAAGTATCCCAAGGAATGTGAAGATAGGCTTATTAAATAGGGCAGGATCAGCAAACTACAGTTCAAGGATAAAATCCTGCTCCCTGACTAATGTTGTACACATAAAGTCTTAGAGAACAAAACCATCCTTTTTCATTTATATATGGTCGGTGACTACTTTTATACTACAAAAGCAAAGTTGAGTAGTTCATCAGGGATTCTATGACTTGTAAAAACCCTACGTTACTATTTTGCCAATTAAAAAGAAAGTTTGCCAATCCATGAACTACAGCATTCTGAGTAGCCCTTACTTTCATTTGGACTCAGGATTACAAGTAGAATAGCAAGAAGTTAGTTTGAATGCAAGCAAGAATTTCTTAACTCTAAATATAAACAAACCCTAGAATTCATTTCCTTTCACATTTCTTGAAAATTTTCCCAGAGCTTCCAAAGGACAGAAAAGGCACTTATTTCCACTTATTTCATTTGTAAATCTTTTAATAAAATGAATATGTTTAATGAGATTTAACAGTTCCTTCCAAAGGGATGAACTGTTTTAAAACACTTATATAAATTTACTACATATACTGTAGTAGTGAAACCAAATAGCCACAAAAGCATTTTAAAAAGAGCAGATGTTTCAAAACAGAGAAAAACAATTTCAGTCATTTCTATTCTATCATTATATTTATAGATAAAAGATAGAGTCAGCCATTAGAATTTAGATTTTAACATTTGTGTCACCATGATTAGAACCTTAAAGGATAAACTGAAATTATTGTGGTATAAACAGAAGTGTTTTTCTTGGGATGTTATGATTCAAATTAAGAGAAAGGAGGGTGCCTGGGTGGCTCAGTCGGTTAAAGCCTCCAACATCAGCTCAGGTCATGATCTCACAGCTTTTGGGTTTGAGCCCTGTGTTGGGTTCTGTGCTGATAGCTCGGAGCCTGGAGCCTGCTTTGGATTCTGTGTCTCCCTCTCTCTCTGCCCCTTCCTCACTCGCACTCTGTCTCTCTGTCTCTCAAAAATAAATAAACATAAAAAAATTTTTTTTAATTAAGAGAAAGGTATTTTTAGATTATCACTACAGGCATACCTATTAAGATATTTTTATAAGTTCCCTAATATTTAATATTAATATTTCAGCCCTATCCTGTGCAGTGTTAATTTTGCTATAGTAATTAATTTCCATTAATTTTGTTTCTTTCATGATAAGATTGTTGAAATATTCATCCCCTTGCATAACATCCAAGAAATCTAAGAAAAAATGCCTCTTTAGAGTCCCATGATAGCCTCTGACACCTATTTTCTTAAATTTTACTTCTAAATGTCTGTCATGTTTCCCTTCAGTGAGTGTCCTAATGTATTTTATTGTCAAACTAGATTCTCACAAGATGGAGTATTTAATCCACTTAAAACAGAAAAGTTATGGGGCACCTAAGTGGCTCAGCCAGTTAAGCATTTGACTTTGCCTCAGGTCATGATCTCATGTCATGAGTTTGAGCCCTGTGTCAGGCTCTGTCCTGACAGCTCAGAGCCTAGAGCTGCGTTGGATTCTGTCTTCCTCTCTCTCTGCCTCTCCCCAGCTCTCTTTCTCTCTTCTCTCTCTCTCTCTCTCTCTCTCCTCTCTCAAAAATAAACATTTAAAAACTTTTAAGATAAAAGTTATGAGAAACATTTAACAACTACAAGTCAACTATAAAATGTGTCCAAATATTTAATAACACATCAAGTAAGAGTTAGAAAGCATGTTACTGCTTGCCGAACAAAAATTAATTCTCCCATTTATGTATTCTTTAGCCACTATTGAAATTTCAATTCGTTTTCAGTCTTCTCTTTGAAAGAGGTTGGGTAAAAATGAATACGTAATCATAATCAAGGATCTCATTTTCATTAACATCTTTCAAGAACATAAATTTCAGTTCTTCTCTGCCTGAGTTATCACAATGCACACTGGAGTGTGAAAAATAAACTCAAGAGAAAAGAAAATCAACTAAAGGACAAAAGAGCAAGAGGGAACAGAGACACAAATGTGTTTTTTAAAGAAGAATGAATGAAAGAAAAAGAAGAATTCAAGACAATGCTGCTTTAATAGTACCTGAGAGCACACACTGGGAGGTTAGGAAGAAAAGGAATTGTGCTGACCTGTTAGAAATAGGCGGTTTCTGGGAGCTGTCCAATGTACTAACCGAACCGTCACACAGCTTCCCTCCTTAATAAGAATGGATATCTTCAGGAATTCTTTCTTGAACCAACGAGGTTCTTTACTCATCTTTTTAGGCTATTTCTTTAAACCTATATTTAAAACGATTTTCTAACGTGTTATTCTGCTCTTCTGTGTCTTCCTAAAAATCCCTACACCGAATAATTAAATAAATATAGCTACTGGCAAAGAAGGAAAAAAGAACACTTCTGTTAACATATTAGAGATAATATGAAATTAGTAAAATTTTGTTTTCATCATACCAAATTTAAAATTTCTTTTCGTCTCAAAAACATGATCTAAAGATAACTTTAAAATCTCCCTTAAATAGAATTCAATAAAGTATAGTTTCCACTCTTAAGTCCTGTAGGGCAGTACAAATCAATGAGGAAAATGACCCAGATGGAAGTGAAGATTATCTTTGTTCGCAAATTCCTTGTTTAAAAATCGAAAGACTTCTCCACAGAGAGTGAGGTGATCGACCCATTGGCTTATCAAAGGGTAAATCGCATTTTTGAAAGGAGATCGAAGTTGTTTTGTTTGGGGCGGGAGTGTTTGCTTTTGCTTTACCCGTCCTCCCCACCCCCCGCCGCCTCACGCTGGGGTTACACAGTGAAGCACACTCGGGAGAAAATATAATGAGCTTCCTTTTTTTTTTTTTTTTTTTTCCATTTTATTGCCACCATCATTTTGCCCTGAAGTAAAATCTTCCACTTTACATGAGTAGGAGATAAGTAGGGAAAGGAAAGTCAAGTATCTCAGTTGTTAGGCTGATTACAACAAAACAGGCTTTGGAAGTCAGGGTTTGTAACGCGGCAGGAGAGCTGTTTCGATGCCCTGGAAGGAGAAAGCCGGTTCCAACAGCGACTCTGGGGAATGCGCTCTCGGCCCCCCCTACCGTGCTTACTTAAGCTAATGGAAGATCTTGCCTTTCAGTAGCCGCTGCACTGGGATACCAGACAAACAGTTCCCCTCGACCCCTGGCAGACAGGGCCCCTCTTCAGGACATCATTAAAAGCACATGCACTTGTTTCACACCCATTGCCAGCGTCGGGTGTGGCAGGATTCAGGACTTCTACTCTGAAGCCAAGGAGAAGCCAGAGCGGTGGAAAACATCCTCGCTTTGAAAATCCAAAGCTAAATTAAAGAGCTACATGAGATAAGGAGCCTGAAGAATATTAGTTGGCTGCGGGGGTGAAGAGAGACACAAAAAGCACAGCAGGTAAGAGCCGCGGTTTGTTGCCAAAAAGGAACTGTCCCAGGTGGCGCGGCGAAAGGGGTCTCCGCACTGGAGGCCTATCCCTTTGAGCTTTCCCAGCGCGCTCAAGCTTGTCTTCTTTCATCAGTTTCGAGAAGACGGACGTCGTCAGAGCCTTCCCTATCGGTGCCACTAATCGTGTTATCAGCTTGGCTATAAATATTAATCCCCCTGGCCCTTCGTGATGCTGCCGCCTCAGATTCGGAGCCGTTAGGAAGCCCATCACCAGGATCCCGCCCCTCCCTGCGAGAAACCGATGAGAGGCAGCGCCAAGGCAACGCGATGGCTGCCTATTCGGAGAGGTGCGTGGACGCCACCGTGCTGGACTTCGTCGCGGACCTGTCCCTGGCCTCCCCGGGGCACCCTCTCTTCTGCGACTTCGCACCTGGGGGTCCTTTTGGGGACCGAGACCTTGTGCTCCGCGAGGGAAGACGCAGGAGGCTGGCACGCTTTGAGGAGGAGGATCCAGAAGAAGGCGAAGTAGACGAGGGGGAGGAGGAGGAGGAGGAAGAGGAGCATGGGAGAGGCGCATCCCCGCTGGGCCGTCCCAAGAGGAAAAGGGTGATCACCCATGCCCAGCGCCAGGCAGCCAACGTCCGCGAGAGGAAGCGGATGTTCAACCTCAACGAGGCCTTTGACCGGCTGCGAAGGAAGGTGCCCACTTTTGCTTACGAGAAGAGGCTGTCCCGGATCGAGACCCTACGCCTGGCCATCGTCTACATTTCCTTCATGACCGAGCTCTTGGAGAGCTGCGCCAAGAAGGAAACCGGCTGAGTCCGGGAGGGAGGGAGGTGCGTGCCCCTCCTCGTGGGCGTGCGCGGGCTTGGGGCGCTCCAGGACCCGGCTGGGTGCGGCTGAGAGACCGGGAGGGAGTCTCTAAGACAGAAAATCCGGCGCTCTGGAGCTGTGTCCGCAGCTGAGAAATCCGCACAGCTCTCGCCGAGAACGGCAGCCCGGGAGTTAAATAGACACGCGATTGCTTTCAAAGTCTGGGGCGCCCGAGGAGGTAGAATTCGCTGTGGAGGCAAACTTGCAGAGGCGGCTTCTGCCGGCCTGCTGGGTGGGGACGTAATCCTTTCCTCAAACTGCAGACTTCGGCGGCTTTAACAGAGTCCAAACTCTTTACTTCTAAAAAATTTAGAAATAATAAAATAGACATTCCTACTTTTTTATTTTTTTCAAGCCTCAACCGTCGGTGCAGCCCAGTTCCGGGCAGACGCTCGGTTCCGGTCTGAGGGCTGAGGGACGTCCTGGAACAGATACTCACAATGGGGTGCAGGGTGGAGGGTCTCCTGGGAGGCGGAGGGGCTCTGGACCTCTCCTTCGGTGCTCTTAGGCTTGTCGCGAGACGGAAGGAAGGAGGGGAGAAAGGAAAGGGGGGCCAGTGTACAAGCGACCTCCTAGAAGGGACATCATTCTCCCCTCTCTTCGCCTTAACGTGCAGAACCAGACATCTTGTTCGGGTTCCTCCCAGAGACTGACGGTTGAACTCGGAGGAGGACAGGGAGAGCTCCAGCCCTAGGGGCGGGGACGCTCCTGGGCCTGCAGGATCTTGGGCTCCGAGCGTTGGCCGCAGAGCTGGACTTCCCGCTGCGCTTCCGGGAAATGGACCTGATCTTCCCACACGCAGCGCAGTCTCACCGCACACTTTTAAATTGTTAGCTGTAGGTAGAGAAGACAGCTTTCTTTCTAGTCGCATCTAGGAACAAGCAAATCAAAACTCAAATGAGGAAATGCATTCTACCACTTTGCCAATATGTGCGTGATGGAGAGGAGGTTGAAGCAGGGCCAAGGTGAGGGCCCATCTCCAGTTTGGATCCTCTGCCATACCACGCTTCTTCCTTCTGGGCAACCTGCTAACATCTGAACTGGAGTTCTTCAGATAGCAGTGGGTAAGTGAGGAGGAAAATCCGACTGAACAAGGCCCACCCAACCGCCAATTCCATAATTCTTTATTTTCCTACTTCACCTCACCCATCTTTTTGCATCCAAACACACACACACACACACACACACACACACACACACACACACACACTTCTCCCTATACCTTTAGTAATGTCTTTATTAACAACTAACATATACTTATCCTAGGAAGTTTGGAAAACAAAAGTTAAAAATAAATAAAATTTAAATCACTTCACATCACCACACAGCTAGCATTTTTATTTCCTTTTGGTCTTTTGCCCCCCTGTATAGATATGAATTAAATATGCTTAAGAAATTTGAGCTACTTTGGATATTGATCTTTCTCCACTCAGCAGTATAGAAAAAGCACTTTTCCTGACTTTAAATACTATTCAAACGTAATTTTAATTACTTTATTTTATTGTCATAATGATGTATCACAACTTACAGTCCTTTACAGGTAGATAGCTAAGATACTTCCTCTTTAAAAAATAAGTGATGGTGCAAAGAGTATTCTTCTAGATGTCTTGCCTGCCTGTGATAACTTCCTGATATTAGAGAATTAGAAATAAAATTTCTTCATCATATGAACATTTCATTTATGGCTACAAATGGCCCGATTGCCTTCCAGGTAGGTTCTGCCAGTCCACACTCCTTCCCACTAGCACTGCCTGGATTTGTTCCTCTTTCAAGTGTCTGCATTTAAAACTCTTCCTAGTTCTCCTATCTATAGGAACTGAATTAGTTCTGAAATGACAAAATTTCACAACTAATTCAAATTGTCTTCCAAAGATAATTTATTTTGACTGTCTTTTCAGTAGGATTTTTTCCACATCTACCAGATGAACGTCAGGATAAACAGGTTAAAAAAAAAAAAAAGTAACCAGATAAGACAAAAAAAAAAAAACCGAAAAACAAAAACAAAAACAAAAAACAACCCAGCATAATTAAGGAGGGTATTTTTATTCTCTAGTACCTTTATAAAATAAACTGAAATTTAGACAATGACCTCTATATCAGTTTTATAAAGTAAAATTACTCATTTTCTCTTCTTTTTCTCCACAACCTTTTGGCTATGGAGACCAATATATCTGTATTTTTAAAGGTGAATTTAAAATTACTCATCTTAATATGCTGAAAGAAAATAATTTTTTCTGAACTTTTCATTAAACAGCATTCTGTTCCCCAACTTCTTATGGAGTGCTAGTGGCTCCATCAATACCTCAGCTTATCCAGTTATTTATTTAATTAAAAAGTGTGTTGACATTTTACATATAGTGTGAACAGGTTCAAAATCAAAAAACTTGCAGAAGCTCCCTTACTTCTCCCACTTAAAGTCCTCTTGAGAATTAAACATCATTTTAAAAATTCTATAAGTGTTTTTTAAAAAGTCGTTCAACTCCAGGAATCATCAATAGTTTTATTTTAAAACTAGAAATTTAAAAAAAATCCATGTAGACAAAGGACCTCTAAATCTCTGGGTCATAAAGAGTAAATACAAACATCCATCATCATTAATCCTCTTCCTCATATTCTGAACCATTTTGTTATATTCTTAGTAATCACAAAATATCTTGCAGTGATATAGTTCTTCTGCATATAAATAATATCTAAAGAGCCTCTAAATAAAAAGTGATTTCCCCATTATTACTAGAATTATGTTCACAATTTTCCAATCTGTTAAATCACGTGAATGTTTTGTCCTTTGTAATTTTTTTCTATGTTTAGAAGCTGCTTTAAAATGCAAAGTCTCTTAAAGCATTTTCTTAATCACTGTACTGATAGAAAAATCTGAAGCCAAATAAGGATTGTAAACACAGAGAAATGGGGTGACTTATTTCTTATACCAAACCATCCACAGAGATAAGACACAGTCATCTGCATTTTGAACATGAATCCACTACACCTCCATATCTCAACACTCAACTTTTGTAAGCGATGGGACAGGTCTAGTTTTTTTTTTTTTTATGTTAGATCCATAAATTCAGCGTACTTTTATTTTTTTAATTTATTTTTTTCACTATAGTTGACACACAATTTTATGTTAGTTTTAGGTGTACAACATAATGACTCAAACAGCTCTATACTTATGCTATGTTCACCACAGGTGCAGCTACCATCTGTCAGTGTAGTTTACATATATTTTTTAAATGTTTATTTTGAGAGAGAGAGACAGAGAGAGAGAGTACCGGGGAGTGGCAGAGAGAGAGGGGAGAGAGAGAATCTCACGTAGGCTCTGCGTCATCACTGCAGGGCCTGACTCAGGGCCTCATCACAAGAACCCTGAGACCATGACCTGAGCCAAAATCAAGAGCTGGATGCTTAACAGACTGAGCCACGCAGGTGGCTGTGAGTGTACATTTTAATACAAGTGTTTTTAGTGTATAACATAAGCTATGTTAAAATTGTTTTATTCTTTATCTTTTAAACCAACACTAATAAAATATCAGTAGATACTGGTTTTTTAATACCTGCCACCAGTTTAAAAAAAATTCTAATGTCAATTATTTCTGGAAATTCATAATAATGTTTTTGAAATCTAAAAGTTATTTGGACATTTGGAATCTAAATACCATTTTAGACGTTGCATGGAGGCAACAATTTATTTATCACACAATTTATGTGACCTGCCTTTTGGTCTCAAACTAAGTTCCCATAGTTTTAAGGTTACTATTAGTATTCTGACATGTAAACAAAGATCTAAATGAAATTGTATTCGAAAGACATAATCAGACTTTCAAGGAAAGTAAAAATAATCAGAAGCCTTTGCCATCAACAGGCAACCATTCAGGATGATCATCTTTTTAAAAAAAAATTTTTAATGTTTTTTATTTATTTTTGAGAGTCAGAGAGAGACAGCACAAGCAGGGGAGGATCAGAGAGAGAGGAAGATACAGAATCTGAAGACAGGCTCCAGGCTCTGAGCTAGCTGATAGCACAGAGCTTATGGGGGCTCAAACCCACGAACCGTGAGATCATGACCTGAGCCGAAGTAGGACTCTTAACTCACTGAGCCACCCAGGTGCCCTGAAGATGATCATCTTTTATAGGTACCCAATGTGAAAGTAGATTTTGGCAAAATTTAGCACTGAAAACTGAACCAAATATTATGTTAGTATGTATGCATAATTCCTGCATGAACATACAATTAAGATCCTTGGATTTGTATTGGTATTTATTGTTGCATTTGTCAGCATTTCCATTATAAAAACAATATGGTGGAAGGTTTATAACTATAAAAATTCTGAGATGAAATTTGGTAAGCACAGTTTAGCATAACTATTATTCTTAATTACAAATCTTCAAAGAAAATTTCAAAGGAATTGAAAACACTTACGTACATTTTACATGTAAGCTTTCAAAATGGACCTGCAATTTGAAAAACTAAGAGACTGTATTTAATACAAAATGCAAATTATTTTAATTTGATCAAAAATAACTGGCAGATTGATATTGAATTTTAAGTACTAAATCTACTTTTTATAGGGTGGTGTTTCATTAAATTATCTTTAATGTAAAGCAGAAAAGTGTTAAAGTTTTGGTACATATCTATGTCTTGGTGCAAGTTCACTCAAAGGTTCCTGAACTTTGCCAACATTTTGGGTGAAGTTAGTCCCAGTTTCTGGCCAGCGCCCTCTCTTCCTGTGAATGCTGAACTAAAAAAGGTTACAAAACAAAAGTCAGCAGTTCTGACCATTTTGTTTTGACTTTGGGGTTTCTTTGAATCCAAAGCTCAAAACCAAACCTGGCGGAGGAGGAGACGGACAGGAAAAAAATCCATGCACACTGACATGAACAAAATACCAGCAAGATGGAAAAAACTTCAAGTCTCTATAAACCAAAGCCTATAAAATTCCACAACCTTCTCTGTGACCCCAAATTTTTAGTTCTGTATCTAAGACATATTCCATAAAGAAAGAAAAAGAATTGCAAAGAATAGTAATATATTTTAAAACACTCTTTATGGTTACCATTTGGCAGAATTCCACCTTCAATCTTGCAGAAAGCAAAACTTTTAATACTCAGTGAAACCAAGAATTTAATAAATATGATGGAAATTATCAGAATAAAATGACTTATAGTTACTTAGTGCTTTATGGTTTTCAAAGCACCAATCATGTACTTCCTCTCTTTTGATCCTCCCAACTGGATTTTAACAGATCTAGAGTCTTTCTATTAGATTGAGTCATCAGTGTGCCATCTTAAAAATTCACTCACTCATTAAAATCAGCATGATTCCAAGATACCTAAACAGGATCAATGGTCATATATAAGCAACACATTATTTTGAAAGATATTGTTTCCAAAGATCAAAAGCACCTTAACCCACTTTGTGGATGATAAATTATACCAAAGGGGAGTAGAGTCTGGCTCCCTCAAAGGCTAAATTTTACCACCTTCTATTTGAGTTCTGTGAAAGAGATTTCCACCTGCAGTCAGCAAACATAGATGACCTCAAAGCAGTTGTTATAGACAGCTTTTTATAATTTCCAGTCTTCAAAAGAGAGGAAAACATCTATGAGAATTTGGAAATAGATAAAACAGGTAGTGGTGAACAATAAAAGGCAACAACATCACGTACATGTGTTTGATTGAACAAATGAATGAATATGATTGCACTTTTTTTTTTACTGCTGATAATTTTGTGATTTCTCCAAAACTTAGTAAAATCACAAACTGTCTTTGTTCCCAATAATATCTTGAACTAATTGACTACATTTAGTCCTATAGTTTAGTTGGCTATATTTAATCCCATAGTTTAGTGAAATATTGGAGAAGCTAGCTGTCTCCAGAAGTAAAACCAAATAACTGGATTCTTAGGTCTGGGTGAAGTAATAACATTTATAATAATAAGTAGTGATATCTAATAACCATATCTTTATTGTATTGCTTACTATATTGAGCTGAATTCTTTATATAACTATTAAAGTTCAGATAATAATTTTAGGATATAGACATTATTATTACCCTAGTAATGATGAGGGCACTATGGAATAGAGAAGTTAAATAACTTTCCCAGGCTCAATCAAGATTTACACCCAGTCAAGGACTTGAGACCAAATTCTCAGGGACTGTGGTTATTTGTTAATGATTATATGGTTATTATTTTTAAGTAGAAATGATGTAAAAATAAGTAACTATTTTTATCTTTACTGAGGATCAGAAATGTGGACGTGGGTTTACCATTTACCAAAGGGATACAGTCTCTGCAATGAAACTGACAAGGTGGACTACTGGTGTAAGTTTTTGAAGAAACCTTGAAACAATCTTCTGTGGATATTCTAAAGCCACAACTTTCCTCTAGCAGCTTCAGTGCATTCCTGCCAGAAAAGAAGAGACAAAACTCTTTTGATGAACATAATCATAAACACAAGCTCTGGAATTTGACAGATGTGGGTCTGAATTTCAAGTACATCATGTTCTAGCAGCCAGTACAACTTACTTAACTTTGTTGACCCTCAGTTTGTTCATCTTTAAACTATGGATAATAATATTCAGCAAACAGGGCCCTTAGGAGGATTGACTGAAATATGTATGCATGCAGAGTAAATGGTGTACAGGCACTCACTAAATGGTAACTACTGTCAAAATACTCCTCCTCTTCCTCCTCCTCCTCCTCCTCCTCATCATATCCCTCCCAGTTCTATGGCAACAAAAACTCTATAAACAAAACATCACCTTTACCATCAGTGGTAATATACAAACGTATAAAATATATTAAAAGCAGAACTCATCATATAATACTTTTAAATAAAATGAAAAAAATCAGGGTTTTTTTATTCTCCAATATTTTTTATTCCTGGAATACTTGAGTGCCAGCATTTAGTCCTGGTCCATCCATCTTTCTAAGTAAAACAATACACACCCAACAAGTGAACAGAGATCAAACCCCCTCCTTTAACCTACTACTGCAATAACATGTATATTAAAAAGAAAAGGTAAGTAAGTCACTTTAAATCTGAGAAAAAATGATCAGAATTTGTTCAGATAAGTTTTATTTAATCAGCAGCCTAGATATTAGTTTAATATATATTTTCCACATCTGTATGCATTTATTCAAATCAGATAATTTCTGATCGAATAGTTTTACATCTTAATTGCAACAGTAGTTGTGCTAACCCACATTTGTGATAGAATGGCATAAAACGATGTCTTTTTACATTAGTGTTAATTTACTGGCTTTGATATTGTGCTATAGTTATGTAAGATGTAATCAATGGAGAAAACTGAGTGAAGGGTACACAGAAGCTCCCTGTACCACCTTTGTAATGTCCTAGGAATCTATAATTATTTCAAAATAAAGTGAAAAAATCAGATAATTACTATGACATTTCTTTGAGCCTACAGGGCATCTTACAAATGTAAATTGTCATTAATTTTAGGGAGATAGTCACATAAACTTGACTCATGTCCTGTTCTATAATTTTTCTTTAAGTGTCTCATGAAAGTGAAAACAAGTTTCGTGCATGGTATTATGTGGAATCTAGAATGAAAATCAGGATTCTACCCCTAAAGGTCATAGCCAAGAACTCCTTATCTGATTCTGGGTTCCTCAGCCAAATACCTTCCCAAGTATGGATTTGAGTGTTGGAGGAGCCACTTACAAAATTAGGTAACTCACTTAAAACATCTGGGCTTCAGTACCTACCCTGGTCTGTAAAGTAGAAGTAATAAACACAGAACTATTTAAAGTAGCAGAGGGGTTAAATAAAGTGTTAGTACAGTGCCTGATACAAAGTAAATATTTAGGTAATGCTGTTGTTATTATTATTACTGTTTATGCTATTGCAATGTTCAATGTGTATACAGAGCAAAATGACAATTCAGCCGTTTTGAAGGATTCATGAGAACACACACACACAAAAACAATATTAAATTGTTTTGCTTCTCCTAAACAGAATCAGTCTTTAAAAATTTTTTTAATTTTTATTTATTTTTGAGAGAGAGACAGAGACAGAGTGTGAGCAGGGGAGGGGCAGAGAAAGAGAGAGGAGAGAGAGAGAGAGACAGAATCTGAAGCAGGATCCAGGCTCTGAGTTGTCAGCACAGACCCCAATGCGGGGCTTGAACTTCCAAGCTGTGAGATCATGACCCAAGCCGAAGTCGGATGCTGAACCAACTGAGCGCCCTCAGAATCAGTCTTGTAAAGAGCATGGCATTTCTGCTGAATTTAATCTCATCAGAATAGTGTATTTTTGTTTAATTTTGTTTTGAAAGCATAGAAATTTAAAGGCAAAGCTTCTGGTCCATGACATGTAATCACAATCTATGATCTGCCAAGAAAACCACTGTAAAAACCCTACATTTCCAAATAACCTCTAAATTTTGCATATAAAGCTTGTTGTATGAAATGGTGATACTTCTATTGGTAAATCCTCTGGGACTTTTTTTTTTTTTTTGAGCAAATTCATTTTGAAAGCTGTGGTGTTGAGTAGGACTACTTCAATTACTAAGCATTTATGCATGCCTGATCTGATCTAGACAAACACGAAGTAAGAAACCTGGAACTCAGCTCAGTCAATGGAATGGAGTATGGGGTCATGCTTTGTTTTAGGTCCCCTGAGACACATAGGAGTTCCTGTGTACCTAAGAAGGTTAAACGACCACCACCTGCTTTCCACAGAGGACAATCAGGGAGGAAAAGACACAAGGCCCCTCTTTGGAGCCGTAGAGAGGGAAGCTTGATCTCAAAGTGCACTCTGGGACATCTTGTGCTATTTCTGCCATTTACACTTTTTGAAAAGTTGGTGCCTGGCTTTATCCTCTTCACTTGCAGATTTCTTTTTCGCTCTGATGCTAGTGGATTTATACAAAATCTTTGAAAACTTTTGAATATTCTGGCCTAGACTTACTAGCAATTTAAATAGGAGTTTTTGAAGATAAAGGTGGCCTGAACTTACACATAATTTCTCAAAATTTAAAAACGGGTAACTCTAGGGGCAGCCAGGTGGCTCAGTTGAGTGTCTGACTCTTGATTTCAGCTCAGGTCATGATCCCAGGGTCATGGGATCAAGCCCCACATTGGGCTCCACACTGAGTGAGGATCCTGCTTAAGATTCTCTCTCTCCCTCCGCCCCTCCTCCCTGCTTGTGCGCAAACAATAAAATTTCTAAATTCTCTCTCTAAAATAAAGTAATAAAAGATTTAAAACAAAATGGGTAACTCTGAAAAAGAAAAATAAAATAATAAAAGTGGGTAACCTTTTTCATATCTACTATTTTAATAATTTTTCTGCCTTGTGTAGAAAGACAAAAGGATAATTATCACATCTTGCTTCTTTTAAAAGGTTTGATTCAACTTCAAGTGGTTTGAGGGTTGATGGTAAAGGGTCTCCTGAAACTTACTAAAATTCTTCTCACTTAGGAAACATACCCACTTCAAATATTCTCACCATGGGTTCATATTTTTTACCAAAAAATGTGGTAACTGTAGCTAACAAGCATTTGACAAGTAGTGGTTTTGTTAATTGTAGATTGTACTGAACATGCCACACCATTTCTTTCATCACTATTCATTTATTTGATTTCATCGAAGTTCATTAAAATTAGAGCAGATGAACTCGGTTAAAATATACATATTGGATGCCACTTTGTTTCAAGATGACACAACTACAAACTAAACTTCATACCCTCATTAGTATATTGTATTCATCAAATTCAATCAACTGCTTCTAAAGTTAATATGAAAAGGGCTGAAAAATGCCCAGAACTCAAAGTATCACACAACAAAACACAATGAAAATCTTCCCAAATTTCATCCAAATCTCAGTCTAAAAAATTTTTTTAACGTTTTATTTATTTCTGAGAGAGAGAGACAGCCTGAGCAGGGGAGGGTCAGAGAGAGCGAGAGATACAGAACCTGAAGCAGACTCCAGGCTCTGAGCTAGCTGTCAGCACAGAGCCCGAGGCGGGGCTTGAACCCGCAAACTGTGAGATCATGACCTGAGCCAAAGTTGGACGCTTAACCGACTGAGCCACCCAGGTGACCCCAAATCTCAGTCTATATTTCAGTCCAGACCTCATGGTCCTTAATCATGACACCCTCAGAGCTTCTCTATGGTTATAACCCTTCTCCCATTGTATGAGCCACATACATGCAAACATGCAAACACGTAAAAGTATTTTGATCAAAATGCCTTCATATGTATTTTAGAATGGATGGTACATAGGTACCTTTTTTTACTACTAGCTCAGATCTTAAAAATGTTTTCATTTGCCTTCCTTCTCCATACTTTGGTAGTTTTACTGTTTTTCACTAATAGCCATCTCTTCCTTGACTATTTCATAGTCATAATATTAATGATTGTTGAATTTTTCTAACCTTTGTCAGCAGAATTCAAGTGAACATTATTGTCTTTACATATATTGAAAACAAGCCCAGGAATTACTTCAATTATCAGCTGAGCATTAGCTCCACATTAGTCTATCAGCCCTGCATATAATTACTAAGACCAGCAGCCAGTAAATTGTAAAAAACAACGTGTCTGGAATTGCCATTGGGGAAACCTACAGAACACTCATTGATTAGATGAGGGTCATTTACTCAATGGGAAAAACAGAATTTTCCCCAGGAGCAGAGCTACTTTCTCTTGGAGAGATTCAAGACTATCTGAAGTTCAGGTAATTTACCATATCAAGAAAGACGTTATAAAGGATTGAAGAATGCTCTCTAAACTTTGGCTTTAGTTGGGAATATCTAAGCCATATTTTACAACATTAGGACATTTTGTGGATTCTTGCAGCTTGCTTATGGAAATTTCACTGGTAGGAATTTAGCCTAAGGAAATAACCAGTACTAACCAGTACAAAGATTAGATTACAAAAGATGTATCTGGGTATTGTTTATAACATCAAAATTGAGAAAATAACCTAGATACCTATAACATAAATCCTTGTTTTAAATTAAGGATGATGTACAGAAGAGACTGTGCTATGGGAAGATGAATCCACTACATGAAAAAGTATTAAATTGGGGCACCTGGGTGGCTCAGTCGGTTAAACATCCGACTTCGGCTCAGGTCATGATCTCACGGTTAGGGAGTTCGAGCCCCGCATCAGGCCCTGTGCTGACAGCCAGCTCAGAGCCTGGAGCCTATTTCAGATGCCGTGTCTCCCTCTCTCTCCGACCTTCCCCTGCTCGCTCGCTCTCTCTCTCAGAAATAAATTTTTTAAAAGTATTAATATGTAAATGTGTGTGAATATGTATGCATGCATGCGTATCTCTATATAAATGTTCATTTTATATATGCTAGAGGAAAACTGGTCATTTTTGTACTGGTTTGTATTCTTTCTGGTTTTCTAGCAATTTTTGGAGTCTAGCA